TGCGGGTGAAATGATGGAAAAGGTGGAAAAAAGGGGAAAAAATTCCTCCCGGTGGGAGGTGAGGGGCGGCCTCAGGGATGGCGGCGTGAGGGGGGAGCGGCGCGGGAAAGGGAATCCCCTCACAAAGGCCTCAAAATGGACCTCAAATTAACAAAAAAAACCCCTCAAATTAGAAAAGATTAATTAAAAATAAAAGAAAAACAAATATTTTTTTAAGAAAATAGCGCCAAAATTTTAATTAAAGTAATTTCTCCTCGCGTTCTAAAAACCTCTTCAGTTGAAAAATACCCGAAAATTAACAAAAAAAAAGTCATCAAATCAACAAAAATTCAAGAGAAACGCTTCAAGCCGCAGAAATTTGCGGGTGAGGAAATGATGGGAAAGGTGGAAAAAAGGGGAAAAAATTCCTCCCGGTGGGAGGTGAGGGGCGGCCTCAGGGATGGCGGCGTGAGGGGGGAGCGGCGCGGGAAAGGGAATCCCCTCACAAAGGCCTCAAATTAACAAAAAAAAAAATCCTCAAATTGGAAAATATTAATTAAAAATGAAAGAAAAGCAACTATTTTTTAAAAGAAAATCGCCCCAAAATTTTAATTAAAATATTTCTCCTCACGTTTAAAAAAAAACTTTTAAATTAAAAAATACCAGCAAATTCACAAAAAAATCATCAAATCAACAAAAACGCAAGAGAAACGCTTCACGCCGCAGAAATTTGCGGGTGAGGAAATGATGGAAAAGGTGGAAAAAAGGGGAAAAAATTCCTCCCGGTGGGAGGTGAGGGGCGGCCTCAGGGATGGCGGCGTGAGGGGGGAGCGGCGCGGGAAAGGGAATCCCCTCACAAAGGCCTCAAAATGGACCTCAAATTAACAAAAAAAAACCCCTCAAATTGGAAAAGATTAATTAAAAATAAAAGAAAAGCAACTATTTTTTAAAGAAAATAGCCCCAAAATTTTAATTAATTTCTCCTCGCGTTCTAAAAACCTTTTCAATTGAAAAATACCCGAAAATTAACAACAAAAAAAAAATCATCATAAAAAAAATTAACAAAAATTCTAGGCAAACTTTCCATGCCGCAGAAATTTGTGGGTAAGGAAAGGATGGAAAAAATGGAAAAAGTTTTCCTCAGGGATGGTGTTGTGAGGGGGGAGCGGGGCGGGAAATGGAATCCCCACACAAAGGCCTCAAAATGGGCCTCAAATTAACCAAAAAAACAGTTGAAGTTAAAATAAAAGCCCTTTAAAAATACTTAAAGTCTGTAAGTTAAAAAATCTCCCCTCACATTTTAAAAGAAAACTCCCTTTAAATTAAAAAATAGCTGGGAAAATTCCCCTCGGGAGATGTGGGGTGGGAAAGGGAATCTCCACAAAGGCCTCAAAATTGGCCTCAAATTAACAAAAAAGCTCTTTAAATTAAAGAATCCCCCCTCAAATCAACAAAAAGGCGTTCAAATTAAATATTTCCTCTCATGTTTAAAAAAAGGTCTCAAATTAACAAAAAAGCAAACCTTCAAATTAACAAAAAAATGCCCCTCAAATTAACAATTTAAATAATGGCTTAAATAAACAAAAAACCTTCTAAAATTAACAAAAAAACTCTTAAATTGAAAAAAATCTCCCCTCAAATTAAAGAATCCTGCCCTCAACTTGAAAAAAAACCTTAAAAAAAATCTCAAATGAAAAATATTTCTCAAATTAAAAAATTCTGTTTTCAAATTAACAAAAAAGCTCTTTAGTTAACAAAAAAATACCTCAAATTAAGAAAACTCCCTCAAAAATTTCTCCCCTTAATATAAAAAATAACCCCGTAAGTTTAAAAAAAAGCCCTTAAATTATAAAATTCTCCTCCTAAATTAACAAAAAAAACCCTTTAATTAATAAAAAGCCCTCTTAAAGTTAAAAAACCCCTTAAATATAAAAAATCTTTAGCAACAAAAAACCTAAAAAAAACCCTTGTTAAAACAATCCCCCCTCATGTCAAAAAAGCCCCCTCAAACAAAAAAAACCAAACTTAAATAAAATAATAATAAATAAAATAAACTATAAAATAAATAAAATAAACTTCAAAAATAAAAGCACTCTCAAATAAATTTAATTAATAGAAATAATTAAGGAGATTAAAATTCTCCCCTCAGATACAGAAAAACCCCTTAAATTACAGAATAAAGTTCAAGTCAAAAAAAAAAAAACACCAAGCCCTGAAATTAAAGAAATTTCCCTTCAAATTATATTAAAAAAAATTATTTATTAAAAGAAAATGAATTTCATTTAAATTAATTTAATTAAAAGAAAAACCTCAAATTAAAAAAATTCCCTCCTCAAATATTGGATATTCTTGGAATTTTTGGGGCCTTCC